CCCCCCCCCCCCCCCCCCCCCCGCATCTTGGATGCGACTGTTGCTCGTTCTCGGCTTCCAGGCACAGCTGTCCGAGATGCAAGCCGCCGCGGAAGCCTTGCCGACGATGGAGCAGGTGGAGAGGGAGGTCATATCGGCGGAGGCGGAGATGGCGGCGGCGAAGGCCAGGAAGGATTACCGCCGGGCCGCAGAACTTTCCATCAAGCTTCCGGCGATTCTGGACCGGCACAGCGCCGTGGCGTCCGCGATCCGGAAGGCGATGAACCGGAAGCAGCTTGCCGAGGAGGTCCAGCGTCTGGAGGGGGAGGTACCAAAATATTTTCGTTGACCTGTGGGTTGCTTGGCGGTGGCTGTGGCTTTAGCTGTAGCTCTAATGCCGTTGAAGGGAAGTGTTTTCCGTTGAATGTGATGGTGCCATGTTAGGCTGATTCATGGGGTCGATTTACAGGTTCTAGGGTAGTCGGATCGCTGTATTTTGATGTGAGGGTTCCATTTTTCACTGCCTTCGTCTAGCCGATTTCTCTTGTAGTGGGGCGTCAAGGGTGGCCGCAGTTGTCCCTGCACGGTTTTCAACGCGAGAAGGGATCAACAGCTCTTGTGCACGTACGCTTTGCGAATCTTCAATTTGGCCCTGTTCATGTTGGCGCTTTCATTGCAGATGCGCTTGGCGAAGGCTGAGAAGAGGTTCTCTCAGTGCTCTTTGCTGCAGAGGAGCCTGACCGAGATGCAGGTCTTAACCGACGGGCTTCCTAGCGTTCGTGAGATCGAGGAGGACATCAGGTATCTACGGAGATTTCATTTTTGTTGAATCTGTTATGATATTACCGTATCATAAAACAATAGTGCAGATGCTTGTCCATGTTTGGGGGAAAAAAAAGGAGGTAGTGATTGCTGTTCAAGAATGCGGTATGACTGATCCTCCCTCGCGTATGGTGAGCACGGTACCATTACCGTACAAGTCGGCAGAATGCATGTTGACACTCGGAACTCCTCGGTCTCCTCGCCTAAACGACTTCCACCAGCCCCCCAGCATACCCCAATCTGTTTCGTTGTGCCAGGCAGTTGACGGTATAGTCGGCCCTTTGCTTGCGCTGGCGCTGGGTTAGTCCTGCAAATGTTGGCGTCGTCTCGTTTCGGCGGTGGCGCCTTGGTGCTGTGCAGATGTATTGTAGACCGTGCTGCTGATCCCGCTCGTGCTTCCGTAGTCTAGCCTAGTGCTGATCCCACCCTAACTACGCGGGTGTTGCTATCCTTCCCGATCGCCTGTGTTGCTGCCTGTCCTTGCCGCTGTTTGGCCAGCGATGTCCGTGTGAAGATGGACACTGCCGTGTCCGAGAAGAACTATGCCGACGCCGAGAAGTTCCGGGTGAGGCTTACCGAGCTCGCCGAGGAGAAGGCTCTAGCATCCGAGAAGGAGCAGCACTCCAACTCCAGCCCTCAAGACCCGGTGGCCAAGGTGAGGGCGGCCTTTCGTATTTTCTGAACCCCCCTACACCCCCCCCTCGGTGTTTTCCATCGGGATTGGGTTTTCGTCGCTTGGCAACGGCGTTGTAAATATAACAAGCCAATTCACTTTGTGAACTCGGCAACCAGGTTACCGTTTTTTTTGTACCTCTGTTTTTTTTTTGGCGGTAACCATAATGGTGGTCGAGTGGATCATGTTGTGCGGGGTCGAGAACCCTCACTCCGCGCAAGGGGGGTGATCGCACCACGTTGTGTTAAAATGGTCAAGCACCCTCGAGGCAGTGACAGTGCTTATAACTGTCTCTGGAAGTGAAAACACCAGAAAATTAACTAAGTCATACGGAGCTGTCACACTTACGCAAGGAAGAAAGCACAAGATGCCATACACCCTTAGCAGGATGCAGCGCACCCTTCATGCGACTCGCCGAATATCTCACGGCGCTTCGCGCTTGGTGATGTGAGAGCCTGGTCCGGTGAGAACCCGGTGTGCTCCGTCCCGGCTTTGTAGGGATGCGACGTCAATGGTCCAACGACTACGGCATGCACGACCATGAGTACACCCCTCCCTACAAGCCACACAAAGCCATTCGCAGCTGTCATGTGTATACAAAGAAGTAAGCACAAGATGCCGAACACCCTTTGCAGGATGCAGCGGCGACTCACCGATTAGCTTACAGCGCTTCGCGCTTGGTGATGCGGTGGTTTGGTCCGGTGAAACCCGGCGTGCTCCGACCCGGCTTTGTAGGGATACCAAGTCAATGGTCTAACGACGGCATGCACGGCTGTGAGTACACCCCCTACTGTACAGGTGGCGCTGTGGTCAACCTTCCATCCGCCCTGTGACCGATCAAGGCAATACAGTCTCGTGCGAGTTTGCCACGGGCGCCCAGCGATGTTCGTTAAGATGCGTACAACGCAACCAGCCAGATTGCTATGTCAGCGTGACCCTGAGGACTTTGCCCACACCAGCGCAAGCTGGCCGAGTGTGCGGGAACTGCAACAGCTTTCGCTTTTCGATTTGGAGAGTTGCCGCACAGCCGGAGTGTTTCGTAGCGCGTGGGGTCCTAACAGCACGAGATCCTCTTTACCTCATGATTCGATCACTCTCGTTCCAATTCCGCCGCTTTCCTCCCTCATCTTCCGCTTGTTTCAGGCGAGGGCGCGACTGTCTGCGTCGTCAAGGGACCTAAACTTCAACTCCGAGCGGGCGGGGCTGGGGGCAGCGACTGCAGCGATGGACTCTCGAAACTCGGGAAGTCTTTCTCCTCCCGCACCCGCCCCACCCGCCGACCCGAGTTCGGGAGAAAGGAGCTTCGCTTCTCCTAAGGTGGCGTGGAGTTTGAATCAAGCATTGGTGTTGATGCTGCTGCTGTTGCTGCTGGATGTAATCAGTGGTTGACAGCGTTCGAGTTACTGCAATCTACTGCTGAGGCTTGCTCTTTGCTGTTGCTATTTTTTGCTGTGAACGGCGGTTGAACATGCTCGAGCTGTTCACTTGTTGAGACTCGTTTCTGTTGTGCTGCTTCTGGTCTGTTGTGGCGATTTGGTGGTTTTTTTGCTCCATCTTGCAGGCTTGCAGGATGTCACAACCCTCCCCTAACCCCTCTCACCACGCCATCGTTTTCGCTTTGCATAAATGGACTGCTGTTGTAGGCCGTGAAGGTGAAGCAAGCTCCCGCCATCCTGTCGCCCGTGAGGGCCACGCCCGTCACCGGCCGCGTGGCCACCGCCAGACAGACTCTGGCATCGGTCACGAAAACAGGAGATGACGTCACCGTCTCGAAGCTCAGGCCCAAGGTACGTACCCTTTCATCCCCCCAGAAGCTCATCTACATCCTGTATTGGCTCCATTCTCCAGGTTGCGTGTGTGTGTGTGTGTGTGTGTGTGTGTGTGTGTGTCTGTGTGTCTGTGTGCGTTCGTCCCAACTATTCTGGCGTCGATTTACAGGCCTTTCGGCGTACATTCCTGACTTATCAGCTCGGGTCACACAACGGGAAGGTCACAGGAGCTTTTCTTTCGTTTGTTGTTTTATTGCCCCACCTTCCCCCCTGCCCCTCCCCCTGCGCATCCAAGATGAAAACAATTGTTTGTCAGTGTCCCGGTATGGAATCGGCCATTATGATAGTAGTAGGAGCCGATTCTCTTGTTTGGTATAGGAACACTTGCGACGTGTTATTCATGACCGATCTTGGCTCATTCGGTTACGTTCGTTGTGATTAGTTGCCATGAATTGAACACCAGCAAATTTCCATGATTATTTGCCATGACTCAACCGCGAAACCCGAACGCTGACGCACCCCCCCGGTTTGTACGTCATCCGCTCTGGTCGGTGTTTTTTTTGCTGTGTGGATGTGTCCTTTGCCGCAGCCGGCCGTTACCGTACCGGAAGGCATGTCCGTGACGGAGGTGTGCAAGGTCATGGCGAACGCGAGGAATGACGCAGCCCTCCTCACCGGGGCCGGCGGTGGCATGACCGGCATCATTACGGCCATCGACTGCATTCGGTACGTGTGCTCCCTCTGTGTGATGCTTTTGATGTGTCAGAAAGGCTGGGTGTTTTTTGCTTGCTGGCTGGGCGTTCGTGCTTGGATGTCGTGATGGGGTGTGTTTGTTTTGGGCATTGTTGTTGGGCGCTGGTTGTTGCGAAGATATCATACTGAAACATGGTACAAGTACATGTGTGTCGCGGTGTGAGAAGTGTGCGTGGCTGGTGTTTGCCGAAACCTATTGCATTTTTCGCGGGGCTTTCGTTCTCAAGCCTGAAGTTGTACGAAAAGGCCACGAGAGTTTACTCTGATGGTGATTCGGTGCCGCAACAGTAGCTTTCAAGGACGTTGTGTCGCGCACAGGGCCCTGCTTCCTCTCGACCGTACCATTTCGTCGGTGCCTCTTCGTCAAATCGATGGGGTTTCGCTTGTAGACGTTCCGTTTTGTGCTATTCCGCCGCTTCGTTTCTGCCGTTTCGGTTGCATCGGTTCATTTGTGCCGACTGGTCACCCCGCGCCGTTTCGTTTCAACGTTGCATTCTGTTTGGCGTGAAACAGGCGGGTGGTTGCGGTTAGCGTGGACCCCAACTCGACCGCCGCGAGCGAGGTGATGACTCCCAGCCCTACGACGGTTCTATCCGAGGACAGTGCCATGGAAGCGCTGAGCATCATGCTGGGGAGACACTTCAGACACCTTCCGGTGAGAGGGCGGTGGAGAGGAGAGGGAAGGAGAGGCCTTGCGTTGGGTAGTGGGAAGTGTTCCTTTTGCTGCGTTGTGGCAGGCATGCGAAGCGAACAGAACACACGAGCGGTTGAGACGAGGCAGAGAGAGATAGAGAGTTTGGTCGGCCATATGCAGGAACGGCTCTGCCCCTTGTATGGTGCGCGTTTTGTGCAAGGATCTTGGTTGGGAAACGATGCGTTCTGCCGCACCATTTTCGAGGTCACATGCACTCTTGTTTTAAGCTCACGCCCTCATGTTTGCATCCAACCAGTCGTCTACTCAATGCCCTCGAAGCGCGGTGTGCTTCGCTACCCTCCTCGATCAACCTACCATCTGGCACTCCGTTTGAACTGGTTCCCCCCCCCCCCCCCCCCCCCCCCCCCCCCCC